GACCTGCCGAGACCCATGACTACGCCTACTTTGTCCCAACGTAGGGAGGTCGGGTCCTGAACACGGACTTGGGTGCCGACACTCAACCTGGGGAGAGAACGGGCGTGGTCGCAGCGGGCGACGACGTCCTGAACACGTTCGGCGGCTCGGCGATCACAATCCTCTGTCTTGGCCTGCCACTCCTTGGAGAAGGATTGAGGGTGAGCAGGGACACAAGAACGAAGGGGGCGTCCATACAAAACCTGGGCAGGGGAGCGTCCGGTGTAGTTGGGTGTGTTGCGGAGTTCAAGAAGACCCCGGTCGAAGGCCTCGCAGTCAATGTTCCCAGAAGGGGCCACCTTAAGGATGAGGTGCTTCAAGGATTTGACAGCAGCCTCAGCGTGGCCGTTGGACTGCGGGTAATGGGGCGATGACAACACATGCCGGACTCCCCATCGGTCAAGGAACGCAGCAAAGTCCCGGCTTGTGAACTGAGGCCCTCCGTCGGTTCGCAGGCGTACAGGAACGCCCACGTCACGGAAGTAGTGGCGGAACTTGCTGATGGTGGCGGCAGACGTCGTGTCATTACCGCCCTTGATGACAACCGGCCAACCAGAGAGACGGTCGACGATAACCAGGAAGGACTTTCCTGACACACAGAAAAAGTCGGCCGACACAGACTCAAAGGGGCGGGTGGGGTTGTCGTCACTCATGAAGGGTACCTGCTGCTGGCTGGGTTGTAATACGTGGCGGGGCTTACACACCTGGACAGCATTGGAGATGTCGGGGTCGATGCCAGGCCGGAACACAGTCTGTCTTGCACGTCGTTTGGTGGCCTCAGCTCCACGGTGACTGTCGTGAAGGCGAGCCAAGGCGTGGGGACGTGATGCAGCAGGGACAACTACCGAAGGAGAGGTGTCACTGGCCAGAGGTAGGGGTAGGGCGGCAGCAGGGTAGTTGCTGCTCCCTTCGTGCACCCTGTTGGCGTAATTTACCTCGAGAATCGGTGTTGGGAAGTCCTGGGAGATGATGGCCAACTCTTGACAATGTCTGTAGGACAGCAAGGGAGTCGGGACACCATTATGCACGTCAATCCAGGCCTGGCACGACCTGTTGCCAAAGGTGACATGTGCATAGAGTGAACCCAGGGCTGGGGCCATCTGTGAACCATCTGCCATAAAGCGGAGGTCCTCGGGAGGCGGTCCTAGATCGCTTGGAGAGAGCCCCAAGCATCGCAAATGCTGGGGACCGATGACTGTAGCATCAGCGCCGGTGTCGGGCAACATCTGAAGACGGGATGACACACCGCCGTAGGTCACGATGACGCTGATGTACTGGGTGACTTTGGTCCTGGGATGCGAGGAGTACACCCTCCTAAAATGGGTCGGGCTTTGTCCAGGGTTGTCGTGCCTCTGATTTGGCGACTGTGGGCGGCCCTCACTGGTAGAAGGGCGCCGAAGCTTCCGTTGACGCTGTTCCTTGGGTTTGTTGGAAGGGCAACACTTGTCATAGTGGCCCAGACGGCCGCACACATTGCACTGGACGCGTTTGGCTGGGCACCGTACTGTGAGTGACCAGTGGCCCTTACGGTCACAACTGTTGCAGGTAGACTGAGCAGCTGGACATACCTGTGTTCCGTGCTGCTTACCACAGTTGTTGCAAAATGAACCGGGCGTGGACGTGGTGGGCGAAGGCGTAGGAGCAGACTTCTTGTCCTTCTTGTACCGGGAAACAGCGCGTACAGCTGTAGGGGGAGCTCGGATGGCAGAGGTGGCACACCTGGCAGCCTCATAGGAGCGACATATCGTCAACACATCCTGAAGAGAAGAGGAAGAGTCGAGGGAGGTGAGGCGTTGGACAAGTTCCTCGTCCTTAACACCCATCAGGATCACCTGCTTCAACTGGGTCTCCTCGCACTGCTGGTGGTGGCCTAAACATATATCTACCTCTTCCGAGGCTCTCTTAAGACGTACATAAAAAGCGTCAAAAGACTCACCCTCCATCTGTCTGCAGCTAAACAATTCCCTCCTGCGCAGAGCTTCATTCTGCTGTCCTTTGATGTGCCGTTGTAGAACGTCCAGTACCTCCTCTACAGACAGCGAAGAGGTTGGGGGTACCTGCAACGTATGTTCTAAGACACGCTGAACTTCCAAGGACAGGCACATACGCAGCTGGATGAGTTGTTTAGGCTGTGACAAACTCTGGAGATCCACCATTGTAGCATAATCAGCCCACCGCCGCCGCCATTCGCGAAAAGTCTGGAAATTTACATCAGGCTCCAAGATGGGCGGCGTTTGAGCTGCTGCTTTAGGTGGGGCTGGGGGGCGTGAAGGAAGCATGGATGAGGTATCTGAACCATTCAGTACCGAGGCAGTGTTAGAGCCAGGGGCTTGGTTAACAGTGAGGCGAGATATCAAGGCTTCAAACCGTGCACTGTCTTCCATTCTCCGTTGGTGGTCTCGTTCTGCCTCTGCTTGCCTTCTGTGCTCATCCGCCAAACGTCTGTGAGCTTCATCCTCGCGTCTCTCATCTCTCATAAACTTCATTAAGGCAATTATCTCTGGAGATAACGCTGAATGTTGAGGTGAAGGGCTGCGCGATGTTGTGGGAGCTGGGCCGGCCTGGTCATCCATCTCTGGGGGACTATCATCCGCTTGACTCATCCAGGCGCTGGGTCCACGGCTACGTAAGGCATGAGACATAACTACTTCCTCTGTGTACTGTGTCTTAAATCAGTGTTGACCGGTCAGCCCGTCGTATCAACAAGATTTCAGACAAAAAAAATTTAATTAAATACACAGATAAGTAGGTTATATATATAAAATATATATAATGAAGCCGCGCGGTCAGCAAGTGTTAGTACATGTATGTGTGTATGTCTCAGGCAGGCAGAGCGTCTCGCCCCAGCTGTGAGGGGGGGGTGGAGGCGGCGCTGTGAGGGAGGGGGGTGGAGATAGGAGTAGCTCAGTCGCTCTCTGTAAACGGTCAGAGGAGGGTGCGCTGAGCTCTACACCCCACAAATGCCCAGAACATGCCGTATACCTTGGAAATCCGTTCGAACAAGGTCACACATGAATGGCACGAAACACACAATGCACTAAACACTTCACAGAAAATCACTGTCACTGACACTGCTCAAAGTTGCGAAATTCTTCGAGGGATGACGCGGGGTTGACCCAAGGCGGGGATCCATCAGCCGGCTTTCCACAAACTTGCACTAATCACTCGTAATAATCCAGTAAAACTACGCACTGCGCCATGTTAGTGTTCTGGGTAATAAGTTCTATATACAGGAGAGAACACAAACACCTGTATAGTTTTGTAGGTTCGGTTTACTGGATAAGAGTATGTACACAGAGGTGGGTAGCACTGCTCCCTAGCTAAGGTCCGGGTCAACTACCATAGACGACGTATGGAAAGTGATACATTAGCAGCTTCCATACGTCGCCAGGCACATTAATTAAGCGTGTGGGATATGGTAATAACATTGCCACACGCTGCTAGCTAGGCTGAATAAATATAAATGGAGCACATACATAATATACATACATAATACATAATCCAGCATACATAATATACATACAGTGTGTAAACGGGACTGCCCAGTTTGGGCCAATAGGCCCGCTGCAGTTTCCTCCATTCTTATGTTCTTATGTTCTGCAAATGTAAAATTTTTCCTCTATTACAAATAATTTCGTTAAGACTGGTCACGTAAATAACTTTTACATGCTTTCTACTTTAACAAATCTGCTAAACAATGCAGTGGGTTAGAAAGATGTTGATAGTACGAAGAAAACTTGGAAAGGAATGAAAAAGGCTTCAAGAAGAAGCTTCGTGAATCTCTGAACTGAGCTTGGAAGTAATGTCCGCGGATTCGTAAATCTAGTGTGGGGTTCAAGATGTTTGGTTCACACTCAGGATGGAATGGAGGAAGGAAACTCACAATGTGCTCTCTATATACATGTTGTATTGGATGTACAATGCAGCTTGGTGCTGGGAAGGCAGCATGGTTACAAGCGTGATGTAGAGAGAGCTGGTTGGTGAGGACGCTCAGAGAAGGACAGCTTGTGGGTCGCCATGCTCGCCAGCGGGAGAGAGGACCGCCAGGCAGGCGGAGGAGCGAGGGCCGCCAGGCAGGCGGAGGTGTTGCTGGCTGGTTGGTGTAGGTAGAAAGAGAGGCAGATCACCACGAGGTCAGGTCTTAAATAGCAGGGGTAGGCGTGGCTTAGCAGTTGACCCCCGCTCCGTGGTGTATGGCGGCGCTGGTTGACCTAGACCACGAGGCATACACTGGGGAATTGGTGGGGTCGGCTAGGCAGCGACAAACAGCGTTTGTAGGGGAGAATTCCACTACAATACTCCCCCTTCCCTCCAGGCTGTGTAGGAGACTTGTTGTCTGCAGGGTTGCATAGCACATGTGAGGCAGAACGGGCGGTGCGTGCCTCATGTGAGACAACGGCGATGGCGTGATGAGCCGGTCGCTGGATACAACTGTCTAGATACACAATATCTGTGGGAGTAGAGAGGGAGAATAAGGGTGTGTGGAGGCGATGAATGTTGTGCTTCCCTCACGGCAGGTACAGAGTCGACAGATGCGCCTGCTGGGGTGTGTGGACCTGGGTCAGGAGCAGGGGCTGTGTCAGCAGCAGCGGATGAGGGCTCGTGACAGCAGCTGGGTCCACGACTGCAGCAGGGTGCAGGACATTAGCAGGGAGTACCTGAGGGAGAAAAGAGGGGTGTGTGGGTCCGCACTCAGGAACAGAGGTCGCGTCAGGGGCGGTAGGGGTTACTGCTGGGCCGGGGTCGGCGTCTGAGGCAGGACGTGGTGCTTGGGGCAGGAAGAGGAGCTGGTATCTGCTTAGAGTAGCAGAGCTGCTCTAGGGTGTCTAACCTGCGGTGTAGAGACAGTAGCTGTAGAGCCGATGAGAGCTGCTTCTGGGTGGATAAGCCAGTCTTCCATGTTGCTTGAAGACTGGGAGCGTGATCAGTTTCTCCTCCATCCTGTGTGAGTGCGAATCTCCGGGGGTCACCATTTGTGGGGTATGAGATTGTTTGGTTCACACTCAGGATGGGATGGAGAAAGGAAACTCACAATGTGCTCTCTATATACATGTTGTATTGGATGTACAATGCAGCTTGGTGCTGGGAAGGCAGCATGGTTACAAGCGTGATGTAGAGAGAGCTGGTTGGTGAGGACGCTCAGAGAAGGACAGCTTGTGGGTCTCCATGCTCGCCAGCGGGAGAGAGGACCGCCAGGCAGGCGGAGGAGGAGCGAGGAAAGGCCGCCAGGCAGGCGGAGGTGTTGCTGGCTGGTTGGTGTAGGTAGAAGGAGAGGCAGATCACCACGAGGTCAGGTCTTAAATAGCGGGGGTAGGCGTGGCTTAGCAGTTGACCCCCGCTCCGTGGTGTATGGCGGCGCTGGTTGACCTAGACCACGAGGCATACACTGGGGAATTGGTGGGGTCGGCTAGGCAGCGACAAACAGCGTTTGTAGGGGAGAATTCCACTACACTAGCCAGTGTCCATCTGTAATCCAATTCATACAGAGATGTGTCAAGTGGACGAGGGTAGGACAAAAACTACCTTAACCTTACCTAAAGCTAATTTAAGTAAATTTAACCTTATGCCATTGTAACCTAACCTAGGCGGTGGTAAGGTTAGGAAGGTTTGAACTACAGGAATTTACGTGTATGTAATATTGTAATTTTATCGTCGATGGAGAAATCTCAAGTCGCCAGTGTTAGGAGAAAATAATTCCCATGTTAAATAAAATGTTCAAGTGCGTAGTATAACTTAAAACTACAGAACAATGAGTAAAATAGATTATTTCTCATCGTTTTCTTTTGAACATAAAATAACGTTATATTAATGATTCAAAAATAAAGTATCAAGTTCATTCTGTCGGCTAGATTAACACTAATTACTTCAATTGGAAATGAAGCTGAATACCAATGACCAATTAGCCAACACCTAAAAGATGTACACAGCACAAGAAAACGAAACACTCGCTTCACTGCCAACTTGGCAAATGACAGCTCCAGGAAATGCTTATCTCCTCGTCTCGCTCGTATACAAACAGAAAATGAGAATTTAAATCAACAAGAGTAATTTCAAAGCACTTTTGTAGGCTTCTTATGTATTTATTGAAAAATTAAATGAAATATATTTGATTTCATAAGACATTTCTTTCGATATTACCGACTCATGGAAGTTTGTAAACTGTGATCTAATGCCAGATGACTGTATGATGAAACTTGTGGCACAGTCAAGGTGCAGGTTTATCGTTCCTTGCATCTTAAAAGACATGTACTTAACCTAGAAAATTGTAGACAAACTTTATGGGTACATCGGAATGACTGAGCTAGTAGTTTACGTCATGGCGTACCATTACCAGATATTCCTTGCAATGGTGTTACTGTAGTCGTAAAAGCAGTCTCACCTGTGTTGGAGTTCAGTGTCCCGTAAACACTCGCTATCGACGTTCGCACTATGGAGTAGCGAGGATTCTGGCTTTCATCACTTTCCGAAGTCTTTGTTGCCATTATTCTAATAATTTCCTAAACACAAATTACACTATAACAAGAGACAAGGTTTCACCAGTGTTAGCAGCAGTACAGTGCCCTCGTCTCCGCAAATTGTTTACAACCAAGATTGCGAGCTTTTGAGGTACATGTGCCAATATAACACAATAAGGGTCTGGATCCCTGGACTCTACTGCAAAAAGAAAACTTGCTATGGGTAATATGTGCTGTTTGGGAAGCTGTAACGATCTAAATGGCACAGAATACTTGATCGAACAGATGCCCGGGGTACTGTATAGTAGCCCGGTGGGTTTGTTTCGGCCTTACTGGACCAAAGACTATATACTCAAGATAGGAATGAGTGTAAAATAGTCGGTAATAATACTAACTGAAACCTCAAGGCACAGTGACGTCATTTTATGTAGTCCAGAATTAGGATGGCGCTGCAGTCGTACTTATGTGACGTCACGTTGTCGTCTGCATGTTTTCAAAATCTTGGACTACAGCTAAGAATAGCCATTTTATAATCAGTAAAATTATTGATGACACCTTTATATTTCAGTTTAAATTTGTTGTCATAGATACTAAGAAATTCTTCATTTTATTAAAGAAAAAAAATTGATACTTTTTGGATACTATTCAGAAGATTATGGAACGTTTTGATTTTTCACACTGGCAGCACTGAAGCCAAGACTTCTGGACGCGCAATTCAACACGCCGGGTAGATCGCACCTCTGCGTTATTTGCAAGAGGAGAAAGGATACACATCTATACTTTCATTTTCATCGGTTTCCAAAGGACAGAGATAGGCAACTTAATATTTAATCTCTTGTGAGTTACAGTGAAAATATGCAATTATATATTGAAATACATTTCAAATCAGAGGCAGCAGCTTCATCAGTCACTCCCACTCACTTGATATGAATTTGACAGGAGTCGCAGATGCCATTGACATTCCCAGAATATGCGTGAAGAACTGTGAGGAATTGCACAAAAGTTATCGAGTGTGTTTTTTCCCTTCATAATATATATATATATATATATATATATATATATATATATATATATATATATATATATATATATATATATATATATATATATATATATATATATATACACTAATGTTACTCTGATATTAACTGGCAGCTCTCAAGAGTGGAACGTTGTCAGTACTAAATGCATTAAATAAAGAAAGCGCTCATATAAACTAATGTACAGTCAACATTGACAGAAGTAGGTCCACGACTCACTTCTCTTTATCTTTCAGAAATCGAAAGAAAGGTTTCTGTTCCAAGGAGTTGCTAGATAAATTTATTGCTGCACAGTATTGGGGCCCCATAGCAGCTGCTATAAAGAAATGCACAAAACAAAAGAAAATAGTGATTTCACCAAATTTTTCGTCTTCCTTTATGCCTTTCCTAATTATTTAGTTTACTTCCCAGCCGCTTGACGGCGCTACTTTGGGTGGTGAGCGCGTTCGCCCACGGAAGTGGGCTATCCTTCTATAATATTAGAACCCTTGGCGTTATGTAACTGTAAAGTCATTTCCGGTTGAGTCAACACCAAGGAATGCCCTGGTCAACACCAATGCTTTTCACAGCAGTGCTTAAGTCGAATTTTACTTGGTGAACGCGTTAAGTAGTGTGTTTTATTTACTTAAAATGCAGATCATTATAGTCATAGATAATCTGCACATTGTAGCATAATAGTGGAGTTTGTGTGTGCCATTTGGCATAATAATATATAATAGTGTGAAACCTTAGTGAGTGGTGTGATAAACAGCGAGTGGTAAGCTCAGAATCTGATATTTATTCTCTTCATTAAAATCAAAATAGTACTACCAACTTACATGCTGTAGTGAACCTGTCTTTTTTTTTTTTTTTTAGGAATTGCAGTACAAAACAAAATAGTAAATGTTAACCAGCCATTCAGCCATCGTGTAATACTTGTAATATATTCTTTACAGGTTGAACATGAGCTGTTCCGTTCTTCATCACGTGGAGATGTGCGTGAAGGAGGAAAACAATTTACTGCGTCTTTTAACACACGGATTTGGATTCCATGTGTTCGGCCGCCGTGTGACCCCCTGTGCCTCTACATGGGCTCTCAGGAGCGGCACCTCTGTGTTCACCGTCATCAAGAGAAACCGTCTCGTAGGCTGTGGGAGGTATCAAAGTTATGGTTTTGCTGCTGAAAACAATGCTGAAGATAAAGTTTCCAGTAAGAATAAACAAAGTTCACCTAAGGGTTCGAGTTTGCAGATGATGACTACTAGTAGCAATGAAAACGTGACAACCAGATCCCACTGTGGAAGTCCAAGTGGAGATAAACTGAATCTTGATGGAGATAAAAGTAGTCGGTTATACTCCACAGAAAATTCACAAAACCTTTCTAAACTTGTTTGTTGTAAGGATGCTTCCCTAGAAAAAAGACTTAATGAATATAATGAGCACTGGACTGTGTTTTGCTGCAGAGATGGAGTTATCCATTCATTTGACTCTGTGTTTAACATAGCCTTAGTGGTGAAAGATGTGGACAGTGTAACAGAGAGAGTTAGGTCACGTGGAGGACAGGTACTCAGAGAGCCAGCCAATATATCAGATATGTTTGGTCAAGTCAGGTACTCCATCGTGACTTCTTGCTGTGGTAATATCGTCCACACTTTGATAGATAAAAAAAATTATGAAGGTGATTTTTTACCAGGATATGAAGCTATAAAGGAGTGTAATGGAAATGCATGGGTTGACACATCAATAACAAATGGAGACCGGAAGCAACTTTCTGTCAACTGTACTGTACCCGTAAATAAATCTGATTTTCCACCAGTTTTGCAGAATAACTATGGATCCAATGAAATTTTCGAACAAACACTTTTAAACACCGCTGACTCTACATGCTATCTTCAAGGTGACATCGAACTACCTACAGCTGCTCCGATCTGCACCCACATTGACCATGTCACCTATGTCTGTGAAGCTGGAGAAAGTAATGATTTAATTGACTGGTATGAACACTGCTTTGGAATGAAGAGATTTATGATTAATAGGCGAGTACAGTATTTACTGACCTACTTTTACTAATACTGTGCAATAGTTTCACTTAAAAAAGCTCATTTTCGGAATAACTTACGTTATTAGTGAAAACTGTGAACCCCATACACATAACCATGTTAGGGAGACAAGGCCCTGCTTTACCGCAATTCAAAATAATTTCACCACTGACTATTAATTTTTGATGATTATAAATCACTCAAGCGAGAGTAATCTATGAACTAATTCAACGGAACACCCTGGTCGGTGTAAGTAAATAACAACATCTAGGAATGTAAGTTACTTCTCGTAGCCTCATGTGTACTGTACATTCTTTTTAACTTTTGGTAAATAAACAATTCTAATTTTAGGAGATAAATTTTTCCACATTATGCCGAAAACAAAGTTTCTGACTTACTAGTAACTTGAGCGGGTTGTTCAAATTCACTTCTTTTGTCAACTCGTCCGAGCTATTTAGTACATAAGCATTTAAGCTACTTAATAATCTTGTATTTTATATAAAGAACATTTACAGGTATATTTAATTTCATTCTACAGAACTATATTTACATTAGGCACGTTGCTTTTCTTCACCATAAGTGTACAGTAAACTTATTACAATACAGTGATATCTCCGTTAGCCGGAACAATTGGTGCAGAGCACTTCTGGGAAAGAGAGATTTCCAGGTAACAGAGGATTCTCTCAAGGCTGGAAAAAAATCCCTCATCCCCGTAATTTTCCGTAATTTTCCGGGTAACAGAAAAATTTTCTTAGAAGTTCTAGAATTACCCATTACTGTACGTCTTCTCTCGGACCCAGAAAAATATCCCTGATCCCAGCAATTTTCCGGTTAATGGAAAAATTTTCTCAGAAGTTCCAGAAATTGTCCATTACATCATCTCTCGAACCTGGAAAAATATCCCCATCCCCGGAATTTTCCGGGTATTGGGAAAATTTTCTCAAAACTTTCTGGAAAATGTGCCCCTCGGAAAATCTTTCCCAAAGCCATAATTTACCGGAAAATTTAGGCTTTGGGAACGATTTTCAGAGAAAATTTCAATTCCGGCTATCGGAGAGTTCCAGGTTTGAGGGATTCCGTCTAACGGAGATATTACCGTATTTGCTAAACGGCCTCAAAGTGTAAAAATTGAGGGTTTATGTTATGTAAATTATGCTCTCAAGTAATATGTTATATAACTACTCGTGTCTGTTATGGCTTATGAATTCTTAACTCTTGCCTTTAGGTTGATGATTATTATATTCACCCCATGTGTCTATCTTATAGACAAAATATTTCAGAAATGAATCAACAAACTTTGAAAGCATTGTGACAACACCAAGTGTGAGCTCATTCAAGACCAGACTTGACCAATACTGGTGCAGGTTCAGATGTATTCTGGAGCCAGATATACATTTACCTTTATCCTCTTCACCACTGATCGGCTCGTTAGCCGCTTGGACGATCGGTCATGTCTCTGTTATGCACTGTTGGCAAGTACTGGACATGCACTGGCTCCTGAGTGTATCTGAACCTGCTCTAGTGCTCCTCAAGTCTGGTCTAAAAGAGCTCACACTCGGTCCCATCACTACACTCTGGCAGGTTGTTCTAAGAGTTCACAATTCTCACTCCGAAAAAGTTACCCCTCACAGTTTTCTGGGCTTGCGGCTTCTTCAACATTGAGCCGTGATTCATTTGTGGGGCGAGCGTCCGCCAGTATGTTCATTACTTGCTAACAGTGTGTAACAGCGACATGATCGAACGCTCAAGTGGCTAACGAGCTGATCAGTGTTCAAAAGGATAAAAGTAAAAGTAATTTTTTTTTTTTTTTTTGCTTTTCAGACAGAAAAGGTCAGAGCAAAACTCTCTACAAGAAGAGCTAGTGATCAAGTAACCCCTTTCTTAACCAAATTATTATTCAGTACTGTACAGTGTTAGAAGAAAATATTGATTTTTCACTTTCCATGTTAGTTGTTTTTCCTTATCTAACGTTCTCTTTGAACAGTGAGGAGACTGAGGAGGCTGGATTTGTTTTGGGTGGAAATATTGGGTTGCGCATCAAGGCCCTAGAATACTGGAGATGTGCTGAGAAAGGGTTGGCTGCTCCCAATGCCTCCATCAATGACTCTTCGCTAAAAGTTGTAATTGGTGAGCCTCTACCAGATGTCAGTAAGTATGACAATTTACAATTTTAGGTTTTGTACAGTACTATATGGTATGAGACCAGGTTAATTAATTATATTTTGTCAAGGGATATTTTGAAGCTCGGTACTGTTCCTGATTCCACGGCTTGAGCTGGTAGACTGTTACATAAGTCTACCACCCTCTGTGAAGAAATGCTTCCTCATGTTAGTTCTGAACTTCTGCATGATAACTTGGCGAGCTTGTAGTTATGTCCCCGTGTGTTGATGGTGCATGACATCACAAAAAATGGCCAGGGTTCACATTTTCTCTCCCTTTCAAGATTTTTAACGTTTCAGTGAGATCTGCTCTATTGCACACCCGCTAAAAATTATTCGGCACCCGTGTCATATTGTATCACGCCGCAAGGGTGCCGAATATTTTTTATTGGGTTTACAACTTATTGGCACACATCAGGATGGCCTCTCTGGCCGGTCTGTACTGTACACCCACTAAAAAATTATTTGGCACCCTTACGGCGTGATACAATATGACACGGGTGCCGAATAATTTTTTAGTGGGTGTATCTTGTCTGAAAGGTTGTTAGTTCTAAGGCCCTCAGTCTGCTTGGGTAATAGATGATTTAGTTTTGGAATTACTTTGGCTCACTCTACTGTATGTTGCACCCTTTTTATGGATATTAGATCTTTCTGGAGGTAGGTTTCCATGCCTGTATACAGTTGTAATCCAGACAACTACAACGTACCTGATTTTTCTACAGTTGAAGAAGCAAAATGCTTTTTACAAAATAAGTTTGATTGTTCCTTATCGGACAGGCTGACCCATGATTATTATTGTGTTGACCCTTCTGACCAGAAGCAGGTTGACCCCAATGTCATTAGCTATCACCTCCCAGAGGAGTGAGTTGATAAGTGTTGACCCTGACCTTACTGTCAGATCTCAGTAAGGGGAGGGGATGTTGGGCCCAGCAAGACCTTGTCTGTTTCTTTGATGATGACCGAGTT